CAAGCTGTGATTTCCCAGTAAGAGTTAGCTCTTCATCCGCCGGTGAACTCAGCCCTTCAGGAGAACAAAGCCACTCGTTTATCGGCCATTTTTTCATCTCTCCTTTTTTCCCCTACATGCAAGAGAGCTCCCTCCCTCTCTTTTTCTCTTTCTCTCTGACGCAGTGGGATAACCCTCACCCTCACAACCTCGCACCTCCCCTACCGCTTCACACACATGCACGTATAGTACACACACACAGTCTTTGCCAGATACTGATGGACACAGAGTGCGGCACAGACACACACACACACAGCGTTAACACTGGACAAACACTGTGATGTTCCTGTAACATTCATTTTGTGACAGTATGTTGTTGTCATTTTTGAACATGTACATTAACAGTATTCAGGCTCATTTGTCAACATTTTCCCTCCTGTCGGAATCATTTTGAGAACTGTTTAGACTTAAGTTTCGTGAGTACCCCCCCCCCCCCCCTGCCTGGCCCTCGGTCCACCCCTCTCCCTGGTGCAGGTCAAGAGGCGGTGTGCTGACTCCGCCACCTGCTGTCTGATAGCACATAAACAAACCAAACACTTATTTCCTCCTGAGCCATACCCCGCAATCACAGCACCAGTAAAACCTCACACTCCATTTACCTTCAGCGCAGGTGACTGCCTGGGCACTGTGTGTTTGTGTGTGTGTGTGTGTGTGTGTGTTTGTATGTGTGGAGGAGAGAGAAAGAGTTTTGGACTTTAAAGGAAGTGAAAAAGGATAGTAACTATGTTTACATGCACAAAATATTCCAGTTTTTGCCCTTATTCCAAATAAGACAATATATAAGACAAATTCCTACTGAGCTGTTGACGTGGCTCATGGAAAATGAGTATTTCAACAATTTCCTGTTTACATGCAGTTGTACATACTGCGATTAACATTCCCTAACATTTCAATTATCATGTCAAAATATGCAAAAGTTGAATGGCTGGAGCTCCTGTGCCATTTTGATTCTTTGCGTTATTTTTTTTAAAGTGTTCCACCAGCGGCGGACTTGTTAGAACATAGCCTCGCTATTTCATTCTTTTAAGCACCTTCTATAAAAGGTTGGCATTGGTGTATTTTTGCACATATCCACGTCTTTATAATGTTTAAAATTAGGTGTGTTTCTCTTTCCAACCAGAAATGTGGGCTTTTCAGTTGGGCATGCATCCCTACCCAACAGCCTTGCAAACTGTTGGCTGGCCAGTTTGTGTACAACAGCTTAAACAATAGAACTGCCATACTTAAATGTCTTGCAAGTATAATGCAATCCAAAAAAATCACAAAATAGCAAATTAAGTCACTAACATTTACAAATGACTCTATGATACTTTTCAAGATGCATTGTAGAAGAAGACAAACCCATCAATATGCTGAAGAAAGCCTAAGGCTGAAACTTGTCTGTTGCCTTCTTCTACCGTGCATCATTAAAAGAATCATATACACATTTGTGAGTGCTGACGACTTCATTTGCTATTCGGTGTATAGCACACTGTAAACTGGGAAGAGGCCATGAGCAAACCCCAGTTGAGACACGTATTCTAAATGTGCTGTATACATGTCCGAAGAATGCTCTTAAAACCTCAATAATACGTCTAAATCGGAAAATGCTCCCTTGAGAATGAGGCCTAATTCCTTATACAATACGCAGTTTACATGACGTGCATCAAATCTGGAATTATTCAAAATAACAGTGGAATATTACTTTGCATGTTAACGTGGTCCGTAAAGCTAAAAAGAGAACAGAAGAAGTAGTGAAAAGGAGAGAAATCGCTAAGCAAGTAAGAGTGAGCAAAGATAACAGTGTGAGGACACCCCTGATCTGGGGCTTTTGTTTTCATGGTTTAGCTAGGCCTCTTAGTTACAATGAAAGAATATCTTAATGTGGCCACATATTGTGGTATTTAAAGGCCCAAATACCAAATAAACTTAAAAACACTAGTGCCGAAGAAGGGTGACTTTTGCATCGCCTTTCATCACTTGTGTCCCAGGAAAAAGTTTCACTTGAACACACTGGAAAGACTACAGCCAATGGCCAACTAGCTTGTATGTTTGCACCTGTGTGAGAAGAAATAACTTTCCATAGCAGCAGGTGGTGGTAGTTTGGATTCGTCATTAAAAAAGGGAAACCGAAAGTGGCGCCACAGGGCCACTATGAAGTCCCTTCTCTACAATGCATTTGCATTTTTACACAGAACCCAAACAACACTGGCATCAGGCAACCCCGTGTGTGATTTCAGACAGCATACCAGCATCACAGAAGCAAAAAAGTCGTGACTAGTGTGACTGGTGACGTGTACACATAGCATCTGACTCTACCCCTCTGCTCAGAGGGTAAGGAGCTGCTGGACCTCATTGTCTTCCCAATTTGTGGACATTTTTGGTTGCTGTTCTCCTTCTTTGAGTTAGCTGCTAACTGCTGTTGGCTACTATTTAAATCTCCCAGTAGTGGATCGCCCACATAAACACGTAACATGTCATCAAAATGTCACACCTGTCCCATCCATGGCCCCATCCTGACGACTGTTCCTTTTACACAGACATTGATTCCAAGCTTTTACGACCTCCACCTGTATAAAGGCGAGGCAACTCTCTCTCTACATTCCGCTATTGTACCTTTAATGGAGAACAGCAAGGCAAAATAATGGAGTGGTATTCCTGCCATGAACAGGCAGTGTAAAAGAGGCTGGTGTGATTTTCACTCACTGACAGGCTCTGCTGGCTGTGCTGGCGATTTACCATGCTGAACTGGCTGAAACAGCCAACAAGGGTCAACCAGTGCTAACGGTGCAGAACACACTGCAAAAAAACTAGGGCGACAGACACTCACCAACGACATACTGTCTACATGGTTTGTCAGGATCCTTAGATAATAGCATATTTACAACTTTGTGGCAACAAAGCCTTGACCTCAACCCCATCCAATAGCTGGCCCTATCACCCATCATCAGTCCTCACTGATGCTCTTGTAGCTGAATGGGGGCAAATCCCTGCAGCCAGGTTCCAAAATACTGTGGAAAGCCTGAAACCAGAAGAGTAGAGGCTGTTGAAGCAGCATATAAATGCCCATACTTTTGGAATGAGATGTTCAACAATCACACATGGGTGCGACGTCCACATACTTTTGTCCATACCGAGTAGAAAGAGGCAGAGAACACATCCAGATATGAGAGATGGCGCTGTTTTACATTGTCATCACAGAGATGGCTTGACCTGCTGCTCACCCCTCCATCTTGTTTGTGTACTGGTTTATTTGTTGGAAACAACAACAACAACAGCAACCAGCCTCTGTAATTATTCCTTAGTGCTGCTTCACTCACTGTAATTATACACCCATACGGTGTGTGTTTTGCGCATGTACGTGTGTGAGATAGTCAATGTGAATATGGGATACGTGTGTCGATCTGTGGATGGGGTTGTGCATGTGTGCGTGTGTGTGTGTGTGTGTGTGTGTGTGTGTGTGTGAGACAGATGAAGAGTGAGAGAGAGGGGGATGAAGGGACAACAAGCTGAGGTCTTTGTTGCTAAATGACAGTGATTCACCATCAGGCCACCCATTTAGTTTAAGTGTGCTGCTCATTTGCCTGTGTGTGTGTGTGTGTGTGTGTGTGTGTGTGTGTGTGTGTGTAGATACAAAAAGAGGGAGCGAGTGTGTGAAATGAAGATGAGATGAGATGAGAGGATGTAACAGACATAGACGAAGAGAGAGAGGAGGACAATGCAATGGTAAGAGTCTGTATGTGTGTGCGTGTGCGTGTGCGTGTGTGTGTGTGTGCACTCTCTCCCCTCTCAGTGTCATCGAGAACTGGCAGTACACCAAACTCTGTGTGCTAATTTGTGTGTTTTAGTGTGTGTGTATCTCTGTAAGTGTGCATAAATATGTGTGTACATGTGTGTAGAAGCATCTGTATTTTTTGCCTCACATTTGTGTGTGCAAGCATCTGTGCATGTGTGAGTGTGTGTGCGCAAGGGCCTTTTGTAAGTGATAGTTAGCTTGCGCCCTCTCCTTGTCGCTCCTCTCATGCAGAAAAATTTTAATTTTTGGTTCGTCTGATTTTCAATCTGGCATATAACCACTCTCGTTGGGAATATTTAAACTCAACCTCTGGGCTCTTTCGGGAAATGTTTTGGCATTTTTCTGTAATTTTACTTGAATTGAAGGTTTACCTTGTCCTTTTAAGGGTTGCAGTGTAACCACATGTCTCTCCTCACAGCTCATTTAAAATCAGACTCAGTGGGGGATTCAGAATGATTATCATTTCAAGCATTTGATTGAAACAACCACCAATCTTATTTATATTTACAGGTTTTGGATACTTTTCCCCCATGTTTTGTTACTTTCAAAGAATGCCAGATGGTGATATTAACTGCTGTGATGACCAAGACAAGTTGCTCCAAATATAATGCGATATGTTTTGAGGAAGTATTTCCTGTCAGGGACTTCCATTTCTTCCTGTGGGAGTCAGGTGTTTAACAGGAAATAAAGGGTCACATAATATGGCAGTGATATGAAAACACTCATGATACAATAACCAAAACATCCGACCAAAACAAACTTCATTTCGATATAAGTTAGAACAAAACATGAAAGTCTCTTAAGGTTGTGTTAACCACAGACCTTACTCCAGGCATCTAACCAAAAACCCCTTTAAAAATCCATTGACTTTGAGACAAGGAACCAGAAGTGCGAGACTCATCTGAGGACTCATTCCTGTAGCACTCTATCATTTTCTAACTTTCATGTATTACCATGTAAGAAAGTATCATGTGGGTTTCATAAAACTATCTCAGTTGGCAAAAAGTTTACTGAAATTTAAAGGAGCATCATACGAGCACTTTTCTCGTCTTTCCTCAGGTAAATTCTGCGAGGTGTTTCCTTGCCCCCTCCAGCTGAGCTTTATCAATTATTAATGTCTGAACATGGTCTCTAAGGATCTGCAATCCATTTTTAATGCCTGACAATTTCTCTCCTTCTCTCCCAGGATCTCCTTCTGTCTCCCCCTCATCCTTCTTATCGTTCCTCCTTCTATCTGCTCGTCCCAGAACTTCCATCCGATCAACCGCCTGGAGAAAAGCTAATAACAGGTGTGTCTTCCTCCCTCCTCGTATCATCTCCTCCTCCTCCTACTCTCTTGCTCCTCCTGTTGTCCTATCTTCAATCTGTCTGTGATTTCTTCTGGGTCACCAGGGGTTTTCACAAGGTGTTAAACGCGCTAGATGTGTGTGTGCGCATGAGTGTGTGTGCCACCTGGGATAAGGTGGCAACCTGCTAAACATGTGTGTCTTTGTGTTAATGATGCATGAAGGCTTGTCTTACTCCTTCAGACAATTAACTTGCATACAAACATACACACACACACACACACACACACACACACACACACAAACACACCCTCCAACTTGCACATCATCTTTCATGTGTGTTTACTCACACCTGCCATTGTGCTTTTAGTCCACATCTGTGAGAGACTTAAAACAGCAAGCGCTATATTTGATTTTCACATTCTGTCAATAGAAAAAAGACCATCGCCAAAAAGGTGATAGCAGGGGTTTAAGATTAAGTCATCGCATGCTGTACGTTTGTATGACACTGACAAAATACACCCTTATGTCAAACCCATCATCTTGTGACAGCTGTGAAGTTTAATTTCCTATTTAAAACACGAATGCAGTCTGTTACTATAAAAAAAAATGCTGCATATTCAGTTGGCGTACTAGTGATGCAAGCGCCGTGAACTACATTGTAGATGGGTCAAAACATCCGGAGATCGACTGATCTATTTAACAAAATAAGCTGGTGGGGGAATTTATATTTCCATGAAGACATCAATAACTTTTAAATGGCCCCTTTACATATTGTGACATTCTGTTTAAAGTAACATAAATGGGCATCATTGTATAGGAATAACCTTAACAATATGAAAAAGAAAAATCAAAAAGGAGGCCAAACGTGCCAATAAGAGATGAACATTTGTTGAGAAAAAGAACACAAGATACAATACAAAATCTGAGGATAAAATTAACAGGAAAATGAAGTGCTAAGAAGAGAGACGGAGGATATGTGTGTGTGTGTGTGTGTGTGTGTGTGTGTGTGTGTGTGTGTGTGAGAGAGAGAGAGAAAGTGTGTGTGTGGCAGGAACAGACGGCGCTGTGGCCTTTTGCTGGCAAGTGAGTGTACTCAGGTGCAAGGATGTGTGTGTGTGCGGTGACAGATATTCTTTCCTCAGGTGCATGTAGGAAGGGAGTACTGGGTGTTGTCTTTTGGCAGGAGCCATTCGTGTGTGTGTGTGTGTGTGTGTGTGTGTGTGTCTGTGTGTTTTTGTGTGTGTGCGTGCACGCTCGCTCGCTCCTGGATCATCTTCCAGAGAGACGAGATTCTGTAATTACTGTAGTAGGAAGACTCTTGCCAGCCGCAGAAGAATCAGGCATTCATCTTACTGTATAACACACACACACACACACACACACACACACTCACTCACGCTCACAATTATCTACCTGTGAAGTATAAACTGTCCTTTCCAATTACAAGCTCCCCCCTGCCTATTAAACACAACTTTAACAAAACCTACCTGAGGCTTTCTCTGTGCAGCAACTTTAAATGCAAAGACCCGTTAAATAACCTCAGTGTTTTTACTTTGCCTGCTGATAGTTGTTCTCTAAAGCCCAGTTCAGACCAAAGATTCACCACAAGACGAGTTGAAACAGGCAAATACTTGCAATGTGCCGTTCTGCAACATTCTAAAAACCTTCTGATTCACACCAATGCAACTAGATAAGACGGTGTATCATCTCTATGCAACAACTCTTTCTACTTCTGTACTGATTTCCAGCTTTTCAGGCTTATTTTGTGGCGGAATATAATTTGTAGCTTCTTAAGAATGAGGATACTGATGGTTAGATGTTGTGTAGATGCCTGTTTGTCCAGAACTTAGCCCAGTGTTTTCCATCCTGGCAGCTGAGACATATACTGGTTTTGGGAATAAAAAAATGTTACTTTTACCTTTTCAATGACACCATCTGAGAAGTGTCGAGATGAAAATCACTCTTTGGTGGAACTGCTCACAGCTCATAGACATCTGACTGCTTCAAGTGCCAAAAAAAGGCTGGTAGCCATTGGCCCTGTCATGAATAGAGTAGTCTGACTCACCGGATGTAGACTGGGGTTATCAACCTGCCACAAGCCGGCTATTTATTCCAGCATTCTCCCCACCTTCCTCTATCTGCACGTTACCTTTTTCAAAATCCTCATGGATAGGGGAAACAGCAACCTTAAAACTAATAACCCAAATGCTGAAAATGACAAGTGTTGAGGAAGATTTGGATCGTGCAATAAGGCCTGCCCACTGTTGATCCATTTTCTGACACAGGTCCAATGACTTCCTCCAGAGCTGAAGTATAGTCAGGCTTCACCTCTATGGCACCAATTATCAAATTATGTTTTTCTCTTTTACCACTAAATATTGAATCACACAGTATATGTCTGTTATTGTTTTTTGTCAAGAATTCACCATCTTAATGAGAGCGCTCCCCTCCTCACATGCAAATATTCCACCGAGTTCCCTCCCGACCTATTTTGCGAGAGCACCATCACTGCATCCTGGGCTTGGTGCCGCCCAAGACGATTGGTTTAAAGAATCACAAACAAACCAGAGCATGTTTCCTCAATAGCAAACTAATAATGGGTGCTTCCAGACCTGTCTCTAGTGCTGACACAACATTATGTACAGAGAGGTTCAACACAGCAAGATTCAAAATGCTGTTATGCATATCTGGGGTAGTAAGTCACATGTGAAAATCATAAGCAAGTCTCAAGCAAGTCCCAAGTTATTGTGGGGAGAATCAAGCAAGTCAAGCCGAGTCCCTGCTATAAATTGACTAAGACCAGTCATGTCATGGCTCATGTCATGTCAAGACTAGAGATGTACCGATAGCACTTTCTCCTTCATGATACCAATTCCGATCCCTGAACCTTAGGTATCTGCCGATACCAAGTACCGATCCGATGCCAGCATGTAAAATAAAAATGGATGGGATATGAATTGTTGTATGTCTCAACTCCTAAAACTGTAAAATATCAAGAAATAAATACATAATAGTAGAGTGAATGGCATGAAACTTTTTTTCATTATTATTATCCAGTGTTGACACAGATCAAGACACAGGTTAAAGTGCAGTCACACAATTTGGTAAAAAAGACTTTTTAAAGGCTACATGTAGAGCTGCACGATATTGGAAAAAAAACTGACATTGCTATATATTTTTTTGTAATACAGTCAGGTCCATAATTATTTGGACAATGATACACTTGTCATCATTTTGGCTCTGTACACCACCACAATGGGTTTTAAATGAAACAATGAATACCTGCTTAAAGTGCAGACTCTCAGCTTTCATTTAAGGCTTTTTTCAAAAATGTAGTATGAACCGTGTAGGAATTACAACCATTTCTTCACACAGTCCCCCAACTTTAAGGGCTCATAAGTATTTGGACAAACTAACATAATCATCAATTTAACAGTCAGTTTTAATACTTGGTTGCAAATCCTTTACAGTCAATGACTGCCTGAAGTGTTGGACACATAGACATCACCAGATGCTGGGTTTCTTCCCTGGTGATGCTCTGCCAGCCCTTTACTGCAGCCGTCTGCACTTCCTGCTTGTGTTTTGGGTGTTTTGCCCTCAGTTTTAGCTTCAGCAAGAGAAATGCATGCTCAATTGGATTCAGGTCAGATGATATGACTTGGCCATTGCAGAACATTCCACTTCTTTGCCTTAAAAATGTCTTTGGTTGCTTTTGCAGTATGCTTCAGGTCATTGTCCATCTGCACTGCACATCGTCCAATGAGTTTTGAAGCATTTGGTTGAATCTGAGCAGATAATGTAGCCCCAAACACTTCAGCTTTCATCCTGCTGCTCTTGTAAGCAAGACAAGACTTCACTAGAATAAATACCGAGGGTTTATCACAAGATGCAAACCATTGGTTAGCCTTAAAAATGGAAGGCCAGATTAGAGTTTGTCAAAAACCATCTAAAAAGCCTGTACAGTTGTGGAACAGCATAATATGGACAGATAAAACAAAGATCAACTACCAGAATGATGGGAAGACAAGAGAAGGAAGAAGGGAAGGAACTGCTCATGATCCAAAGCACACCACCTCATCAGTGAAGCATGGTGGGCCATGTATGGCTGCCAGTGGAAATGGTTCTCTTGTATTTATTGATGATGTGACTGCTGACAAGAGCAGCAGGATGAAAGCTGAAGTGTTTGGGGCTACATTATCTGCTCAGATTCAACCAAATGCTTCAAAACTCATTGGACGATGCTTCACAGTGCAGATGGACATTGACCTGAAGCATACTGCGAAAGCAACCAAAGACATTTTTAAGGCAAAGAAGTGGAATGTTCTGCAATGGCCAAGTCATATCATCTGACCTGAATCCAACTGAGCATGCGTTTCTCTTGCTGAAGCTAAAACTGAGGGCAAAATACCCAAAACACAAGCAGGAAGTGCAGACGGCTGCAGTAAAGGGCTGGCAGAGCATCACCAGGGAAGAAACCCAGCATCTGGTGATGTCTATGTGTTCAACACTTCAGGCAGTCATTGACTGTAAAGGATTTGCAACCAAATATTAAAACTGACTGTTAAATTGATGATTATGTTAGTTTGTCCAAATACTTATGAGCCCTTAAAGTTGGGGGACTGTGTGAAGAAATGGTTGTAATTCCTACACGGTTCATACTACATTTTTGAAAAAAGCCTTAAATGAAAGCTGAGAGTCTGCACTTTAAGCAGGTATTCATTGTTTCATTTAAAACCCATTGTGGTGGTGTACAGAGCCAAAATGATGACAAGTGTATCATTGTCCAAATAATTATGGACCTGACTGTATATATTGAATTATTAAAAAAATCAAGAATTTCCACCAGGTGACTTAAAGTAAGAACATTTAAAAAAAAGTAAAAGTAATAAAAATAGGACAAGAATAACCTGATGATATCACACACGTCGTGAAAGATGACCGGGGATAATTGGTGTGTACCATCGTGTAGTGTGTCATGTCTGTCGGCCAAGTCGCGGCAT